CCCTCCCCGCCCCCAGGGCCTGGCCGCCTGGCCACTTAACCCTTCCATGCCAAGGCTTTGTGGGGAAGACTCGCTGGGGCCAGAGGCTGACACCCACCCACCCCCAAGCCCTCCTTGTTCTGGGGTGACCTCTTGGCCTGATGTCTTTCGCAGTTGCAGGATCACTTAATGGGTTTCATTGGGTAATCAGGGTCTCCTGATTTGCCTAGCCTGTGGGCAGCAAGGCAGAGACCCCCTAGTCTCCTAGCTAGGGTTGGGGGTGGGGCAGAAGGGGAACCTGGGACTGGGGGCTGAAAATCAAGAGGGTGGTGTGGAGGTGGGACATTACCACAGGGGTGTTGAAAACTTAGGAGGAGCTGGCAGGGATGGTTTGGGAACAAACTTGGGGGTTTTTTGGGGGGCGCGGGTGTAGAGGAGGGACGGGGTCAGGGGCAGGGCATCTGAGAGGGACTGCTGGTCTCAGAGCCAGGTCCCAGCAGGCTTTGTTTATCCTCAATTATTTATACCCAGGGAGGCCACCTGCTGGAGTCTGGGGCCACCCTCAGACAGGGCATCCAGAGGAAAGATTAGAAGCCAAGGAATGTGTGGGGAGGGGCTGGGTCCCAGAATGAATGCAGGAACCAGGGGCGTCTAGTCCCTGAAATCCTGTTCTCATGTTTTGTCTCTGCCCATCCCCAAATGTCTGTCTCCCACCTTTGTTGGCCCCATTCCGGTCTCTGGCCTCCCCCCCTCCCACAGTACTATGAGATGTCCTATGGCTTGAACATCGAGATGCACAAGCAGGTAGGCCCCAGGTGCTCCTCCCCCTCCCCCCAGGCAGGTAGGATCCTGCCCTTTGGCAAAGCCCCAAGTCAGCCCTGTGATCCTGTTACCTCCGCACCCCTCCCCCTCCTCTGTTCTTGCTCCCTCACTGGGAGGACCTGCCACCTCCCCCCACCCCCCCCTGCCTGGCTCCTTTGGGGTTGTGAGGGGCAGCAGTGACCCTGTACCTGACCCTGGAGACCCCTCACCCTGGCCCCTGCCATCTGTGTGGCACTGATGGTCTTAGAACAGTGATGCCCCAAGCCCACAGCCCTCCCTCCTCACCCCCTTTGGGATCCCCCAGAGCCCAGGGTCCTTGGCCATATGGTGAAGCCCCCTGCCTGTCCCTGATGGTGTGGCCTGGGTCCCAGCCCCTACTCAGCACCCACTACCCACCTGACCTCACTGCTCTGGGTTGCAGGCTGAGATCGTGAAAAGGCTGAATGGCATCTGTGCCCAGGTCCTGCCCTACCTGTCCCAAGAGGTGAGTGGGAGCAGTGGGGGGAGGGGAGCAGAAGCAGCCTCCTCGGCCTTGGGTGTGGAAGGGAGGGGCTCACCCTGCCACCTGGAATTCCCAGTGACTCATTCTCTAAGGAAAAATGTCAGATATGCCAAGACTCCAAGAGCGGGGGTTACCTCCTCTCTTCCGCCTGCCTTCTACCTCAGGGTACCTGGGGCTGCTGGGCACCTGGGACCAGGAATGCGAATGCATGCACACACCGACCCAGACACATGGGTGCACACACCGTCACAGACACATGAATGCGGGAGTGCGTCCCCAGATTGCACACGCAGACACACACAGGCTCCCGCAGGTATGCACACACACAAATGCACATGTATTTGTCCATACACATACTTACATGACTGCACATGTCCAGAGACACCCACCGGTAGGTACATGCAGACACAGCAACCTTGGTGGCACCTGGGTTACATGCTGGGCTGCTAACCACAGGTCAGCAGTTCTGAGGAAGAAAGGTGAGGCTGTCTGCCCTCAGTAAAGGTTTATCACCTGGGGAACCCACAAGGGCAGTTCGACTCTGTCCTATAGCAGTGTTTCCCAAAGTGGGCAGTACTGCCCCATGCAGGGGGTGACAGAAGTAGCCCCTTCACTTTAGCCTGGTTTTCGGGCGGGTGAGGGGGTGAGTTGTTGGTTTGGGGGGATTTTTGTTTCCTTTTTCTGGAAAGGGGGCGGTAGGCCACATCAGTTTGGGAACCTGTGCCCTAAAGGTCACTCTGAGTCGGAAGTGAACTTGGTCTATTGTTGTCTGCTCACAGACAGA